ATATAATTTGTACAATTGGAAATGACTGATGGTAAACTTCCTTTTTGTGGTTCTGTTCAGTAAAGTAATGTCATATATAGTGCTGTGTTAGGGGCGCTTCAGCAGACTTTCAGTCATATGCCTGTCTTCGCACTATAGACTTCCAAAGGAAATGTATGCTTTAGCTGCATGAACTTTCTGGATGTTCTCTCTCTTACCTAATTGTTATTATTTTTAGGCTGTCCATCAGGGTTATAGCTGTGCTACCTACCTTTGTATATATAATGTATATGTAACTACTATTAAGAAAACTTTTATAATAGAACTTAAAAGTCTGTTCAAATTGCAGTTAAGTAATAAGTAAGGCATATGTTGTACATCTTTAGCATCTTTGTTCTGTAGCTGTCTGGAAATGCAAATGGATGTCACAGCTGAGCCTCATGCCTGACAGAGCTGGTTACTGTTCCAGCTGTAGCTTGGCTGGCAGAGCCATCTGCTGTTAACTCGGTACAGCAGAAGGGCCCTTTCAGCCCTTGCTGCTTTTTGGATGCTTGCAAGCACTTACTCAGAAGTGGAAGCAAACTTCATTGCTAGTGGCAGGATGGTTTCTCAATTAGGTGCCTGCCATACTGAAATGGATGTTGGTCCAACCCTCTTTCCAAAACTCAGGAGAGCTCCATGCGGGTGATGGTAGTAACAGGGAGTATTCACAAATCTACCCATCCGTCATCCTAAAGTTTTGTGAGGTTTTATTTGCTATTGCAATAAAATCAATGACAGATTAGTATTCATTATTTTGGCAGGTTAGTTTTGAATGCGGTCAAGGTGGACAGCATTAAGAATCCATGTCCCTAACGTTTGCACTCTTCTCTTTCATTGGTTACAGTCTCATGGCACTATTTTTGTCTGACTGGCTCTTTGTTTGCCTGCAGTAATTCCTTTGTATGGCCCCATGATTTGACAACACTATTATTCTCATGAATCCTGTCAGTCCTGAAAAGGTACACTCATGTGAATAAGGGGCAGCTATTAACTGTAGGAACACAGGAATTGCTAGAGCCCAGCAGAACACTGCTCCACTTTGTCCCTAATCGTCGCTGTGACTGTGACCAATGCTAGGGGGCTTAAAGGAAACATAAGCACTGTACTGGTTTTAGATTATCTATCCAAGTCTTCTGTCCCTCCCTTATTAAAAAATGAGAATAAACAAAAGAACGGCCTGTGGCTTTCTTCTCAACCAAGACTTCTCAATGTTTTGATAGCAAGATATAGATTTTGTTGCTTCCTCGCATAGTCTTTTGTGCAGTTGTAAATGCTCTGGATTTACCCTCCAAGGTTCCCGAGAGCCTTGTCAAGGATACAGCTGAATGCATCTTTTATAGCACAACTGTTAGAACTCTATATGACCTAGTAGGAAAAGGTTGGGTTACTGATCATCAATTTATGCCCTGAAGCGTGAAAGTAGGTAGAATTTCTTGATAACAATGAAATAGTTCTGCGTGATTTGTTGTCACAGTTATGCTTTTGCAAACATAAACAAATCAGAATTCATTGAAAGCATCTAATCAAGTGTTGAAAACCTGAGAGTGAGTCCACAGCTTCCTGATTGCTAATTCTTGCAATTAAAAGGAACAGTAGATAAAGACGTAAATTCTTATACTGAATCTCAAGCAGTCCTGCCTTTGGTCTTAATTAGCATGTGTAGTTTTTGTGTAATTTCCTTCTCGGTAGTTTAGTATAACCTTTGACTGAAGAACATTTCTTGCTACTTTTAGAAGATACTTCTTTTGTTAAAACTACAATTATTGCATGTAGCTTAGATCTATTTTTTAAAGTCATATTTTGGAAATAGTTATCCTTGTATGATCAAGATAATGCTGTAAATGCAGATAGGTGCAATGGGGGAAAATAATTATTTTTATGTGTTAAATATTGTATGCAGATGTAAATCTGTTTTTTCCTGCCAATATATTGCATATATATGTATACATTTTTAAGACTGTCTCTGAAGTTAAATGGAAAGAAATGAGTTAAATCAGATTTTACAGGATATATAAATAGCTGAGCTAGGCCGGTTAGCTTCCAGTGCTGACCCTGTGCAATCAGAGGAGATTGACAGGAATAACTACGCCCACTTCATCCTCCTGCATAATCTTCCCTACAACACTCCAGGGGAAAGCAAGTAAACAACTAGAAGTAAACAACCCCAAGCTTTGATACCTGATGGAAAATTCTAGCCCACGATTGTATTTTACAACAAATTATGACCTGTCTAGGTTTGAACTCTTAACTTTTGTGGTAAAGAAGTTGGTTACAAAATCTTACTCATTTGCAGCATAAGTATTCTGTCATTGTGATTTCCACTCATAGAAGGGGAATACTAGCTATTTAAACACTAATCACTTGTCTTCAACATATTATCCTTAGGTGGCAAGTCTGGAACAGGTCTACATATACACATGTATGCATGTAAATATCTGCCCTATGGACTATATCCACCCTGTATATATCTGCCTAACTGACATAAATCTAGTTGTTTTGAGGATTTTTTTGTAGATTTTCACTGCTAAGAAATTCAACCCTATGCGTATTTCCTTTTAATTGCTAGGTTGTCTTTGTATTTAAACTGATTTTTAGGGAAGTGTGTATTTCTTCACCTTAATACTATTCTCTATCTTTCGTCTCACAAAGTTTAACAATTATGATAGGTTATGGGTGAGAATTGGAAAACAGAAGCCTCAGCCCTTTTTTTTAGAACTATTCTGAATAGCTGGAGAGAATAACTGAATAACTGCCATAATCTTTTGAAAAGATTAAAAATTCATAAGGGAATAATAACATCTCAATTTTTACTTAATTAACAGAATTCCCAAATCTGAAAAAAGCCATCTTATCCTAATTAACATGTTCTTTTATAAAAGAACATTTGCTGTAAACCCTGAGGTGAGAAAGCCACTAGATGTCTGGGGGCTTCTTTATTTTCCTTTTCTTCTGGAGGCGAGTTGTCAGCAGATATTGAAAACATATCTCACATGATAAATCTTGAAGGTGGAAATGGTATTTAAAAATATTCCTTCTCTCCACTTATCTCACTATGGTCAAATTTTATCACAGAGCATAGCAGGACCCCCAGAGAATTGAAGTCTGTCACTTAGCTCTGGGATGTGGTTGTAAGTAGGAATCAGCATAACAAGAGAACCAAGAGTGTCCTGATGTGAGTGTAGCCTGATGGGCCAGAGATCTCGGAGGTGATTACATCTGCCTGCTTCTCATCCCATGGCTTTGTACAGTGATTGTAATATTCCTGGTACATCCAGTATATGAAGATGATCACTTGAGAGATAGACTTGCCTTGTGCAGGGAGTAAAAGAAGTATAAATCAATTCGAATGTAATAGAGGAAAAGTGAAATTAATACAGCTGTGCTCGGGGCATTTGTTACTGTCAGCAAAGCTGCGTGCACTCGTGTCACAAGAGGGTAATCTGGTTTGTGCTTTCATATTATCTGGGGAAATCTCTGAGCAATGCAGCATGATACAGTGGAGGTTTTGACTGACTTATTCTGACTGCATAATATTCAAAATGGTCATTTAAGCAAAATCTTTTATTTTAAACCAGCAGCAACAATAACAAAGCTATTGCTTGCAACCTGTCTGCAATGTTTGTGTGGAGACTCGTATGCCCTAGGCAAGGTTAACTGCAGGGTGGATGTACCTCATCTTTGGGGTAGCTCCAGGTTAGATCTGAAATGTTCAAGCCAAACTCTGTAGTTCTCAAAACCAATACAAAATGGTCATTGGATCAGCTGCTGCCTTCCTGACTGTTCTGGGCTACCATGAGTGTGGGGCATTTCCCACTATTTGAGGTCTTTGAATTGAATGCAAGTAATCAACTGTCGACGTCAGTTGATCACACGGGTTTATAAATAATTATTGGATGTTGTTTTGAAAGAGATACTATTGTTAAAATCAATTTGGGAGTAATAAAATAATTTGGGAGCAGTGCAGCAGCTGCTATATTAATTTTATTCGCCTATGCATAGAAATTAAACTAGAAGATCATTTCTCTTTCTAAGTTCAGGAACTGCTAATAACCTTAACTATTGCAGGCCAGGCAAAGGTCAGGTAGTTAATCCTGAAAAAAGCTGGTAGTATAAAGTTGCTCCTTGATTCCCAGCGGCTGTTAGTAGGAGATTCCAGGTTTCTGCCTATAAGAAAAAAAAATTATGAACATACTTTATCTGTAACAAGTACAATATACTAAAAGTGTAATAAAACACATCTTCTTAATGTAGAAGCTCAGAAAAATAAAAAAGAAGAGAAAAAAACCCATTACTTATAGAAAGGAAACAAGGGACAGAAATAAGATAGGATTTGTGGACCCAACAACAGTCATATTTTGGGGGAACCTTTGTGGAACTGAACAAGGAAAATCCTTAAAAATATGGAGAGCTATGCTGAAGGAGACATAACCTCTGACTCTGATGGGTGAGCTCTGGTAATAGGATGGAGCTGAATCTTTGGCTGATGTCTTGCTGATGATCTGAAAATCTGTGCTCTCTGTTTTTCTGGTATTGTGTGACTATGCCAGAAACATAGTTATGTTTTATAGGAAATGAAAACAGAGAGTTAAAATGAAATTTAATAGTATAATCTGCTGACTGTCTAGATAAGTAGAAAAACTTCTGGCAGTTGCAGAGAAAGAAGTGTTGTAGTTCTAAGAATTTTGGTGCTAATTGGAACTGTCTGGATGTATATGTTAAAATTATGACTAATGAGTGGTGATGATTAGGCTTCCTGGTAGTAAACATGATGTTCTAAACGTGCAGCTTGTTTAAAATGCCATGGTTTCATGGAAACGTGGAGCTGTGCTGTCATGAAAATGCCTAATATAACTGTAAATGAAGTGTTACATTAATAATGGACATTTTTCTCTTAATTTTAATCTATTTCTTATCTTCTTCTTTCATATACTTTTCAAATTAGATATAATAATTTCTATTTTGCTTTTTTTCTCTTCCAGCGAATTCGAGAACTAGAAGATAAAATAGAACTTCAAAAGAGGCAACTCAAAGAAATTGAGGAAAAGGTAAGTAAATGCCTGGGCAATGCCAATGGATTTTTTTCCATACTAACTTATTTTTCTCTGTTGCATTGACATTAATAGTACTTAACCTAATATCATGAAATCTATTTTAAAACAAGAAAGATAAAATATGAATTCAAGTCATTGCTGCATGAAATGAAGCTCTGTCCCTAATCTGAAAATTATTTGCTATCTGGGTTTTCTGTCAAGTACAGAAAGGAATCAAGGGGTCTGGAAAGACACTAGACTAGCAGGGGGAGGATTTGCTGTGGTTTAGATCAAGAAACAACATAAAGATTTGTCTCTGAGAGAAGCGGTTAGCTCAGCCCTGTTCTTCTGATGACACTGCTTTGCAAAACTTGCAAAAACTGAAAACTAAAAAAAAGTTAATGAGGTGCATGTGGTGAACACTGCAAACAAAAAATATTTCTTGCTTTAAGATAGAAACAAGTTCCAAATTAATATCCTGGATCCTAATTTTCTCCTCTTTTGAAGAAGCTCTGATTGAGGCTTAAGACAGCAAATGCATTTGGGTCACTATGGTCCCAAGCAAGAGATGGCATGAGGTTCCTGGACCGTGGGCTCAAGTGTTTCCCAGGTCTGTGGAGTTTAGGCTGTTCTGCAGGACACAGGCTGACAATGGGGCTTTCTCTAAGCTCTAGCAAAGTGTTTTAGTCACGTTGCTTTTGCTAAACCAGTGCCTAGATCCCAAGATGAGTCACATCATTCAGGTTCATTTTCTCCAGTATGTATGGATGCAAACCTGCTGCTGGGCTGAATGGAGAAGTTAAGGGAGTTGTCAGTCATTGTTTTTTTTTTTTCTTTTGGGATCGGAACAGGATAAAAGAGCAAAAGGAAGGCTTTTGGAGGACTGAGTGGGAGTTGAAAGAGGTCAGCAGGGTTTGCAGAACTGAGAGAGGCTTTGAGGAGCAGTGTGCTGGATATGGGAAGGTTTCCTCCTCAGCCTTCACTCTTCTCACTGTCCCTTCATCCGCTCTCAGGATGCGGCAGTCCCCGCTGTGTCACCCTCTGGGGATATTGCACTTCTAGCAGCTACTCCAATTCCCTCAGTAACTTCCTGGGCCCCTTCTGCTCCCACAGTTGTTGTCTCCCCTCTGCAGTACCTCGTCCTGCACTTTTTGGACTGTGATATCCAGCTGGGTTTGTGGAAGAGCCAGGAGAAGAGCTGTGAGGAGCTGGGGTGTTTGCTGCTGTTGCTAATTGGCACTTTCTCTCATCCCCGCTACGCCCTGGCTGGGGCTAGTCTGTCTGTATCCATCATGGAAACACTGGTCTCCGTTTCCACTAGCAGAGGAACATAGGCAGTATCCACCCCTTAAAGGCTCTTTTGCTGCCTTTGCCCTCTTCTGCCCTGGACCCCTTCTATACCTGAAGATGTTCCTGCCTAGCAGCCAGTGATGTCTAAGATGCTACAGTTAACTCCTCAAGGCAGAGAAACCTTGAGGGACAGGTGATATCTCTACATGTTAATTATTGCAAATATTAGTGTTTATCCACCAATTCTAAAAGATCAAAATCTCTAGATGTTGCTATTGCCAAAATGTAAGCCTTTAATCATTGCCATTACAGTTTACAGAGTAAGTATTGCATTAGACAGAATGCTAATTTTGAAAATGGAAGTTAGCATTGTCTGTGCTGGTTCATCAGTGCAATGGATGGGAAAAGTAATGAAAAGAAACAGCTTAATCACAAGCTTAGCAGAAAGCTGGTAATGAGGTAAAATGATTCATGTTCTCTTTGCCTTAATATTATATTAGCAGGAGACCTCAAAAAAGCTTCATCATTTTGTGTTATCCTTCAACTCCTGGATGGCTGGAGTGCTTCCTTCTATCTGTATTACATTTGAATTTTTTTTCCTTGGGATTAAATCCCATTCTGAATTTGACTGCCCAAAGGAAGAATGTGTTGTCAGAGAATCAATGAATGATATACTTCTACTTCATTGTTCTGAAGGTTTAATATGTCAGTGGGTGGAGACTGACACCTACATGCCACTGATAGCACAATAATTTCTTGTGGAGAGAAGTCTTATACTTCTGAAGGAAAGGCAGTATTTATAGCTGAGCCTCATTGCTGGTTGTAACTAAGGGCAATGCACCACTTACAGTTAGTGTCATGAGTATGGCTTTTTATTTTCCTTTAGGAACGGATGCAATTTTTGAGTTTTATGTAAAATTCTGTCAAATCAGAACATAAGGATGACGGTGGTTTTGCCCTATAGATTCTTCAGCAAACTGTCCTGCTTCTAAAGCTATACAAAAGAATAACGTAAAATCTCAGTTTTATTCTATGAGTTGATACATGAGGAACAAGTGCTGTTTGAACACGTCATGCTTTTCTCATAACTGATTCTACCATTTAAGTCGCGTTTAGTTTGTGCCTTTGGCTTGGTAAGTCTTGGTTCAGGAAAGCTTTCGGGTGTGCAATTATAAGTACTTGCTTAACTGAGTCACAGAGCCGAGCCGAATATTTCTGAAGTTACATAATCCACAAATGTTACCATATGTACCATTTGTAAAGCTGCTCTCAAGTACTGAATTTTATACCGTTACCCTTTTTTAGAGTAATATTCGTATACTGTATCTCTCAGATCAAGTCAATTAATATTGCTGTAAGACTAACTGCTGTAATGTCATTGGCTTTCATATTACATATCTTACATCTTTTTTCTTTTCTTTTTTCCTCATTTTCTTTTGATCTTATGTTATAGTTTTTGTTCCTTTTTTTGTTTTTTTCACTAGCATTCATTCTGTGGCCTTGATGACACAACTGAGCCAAGACGTGTGGTTGGTATTCTTTATATTTCTTTGTATTCAATTTTTAACTCTTAAGATTTTGCCATGTTTTGAGAATCATCTTCGTAAGACCCTGAAACCATGGGGGAGGGTATACTGGTTTTGCTTGCACGGAGAGGAAGAATGACCTATAAAATCCAACTTGGATGCCTTCAGTTATGTCCTAGACTTCTGCAGGTCATTGAGTTTTCAGTGCAAAATGATTTTGCATTCTAAGATACTGACTTAACTGCAGTGGGTGATTTTCAGTTCTGCAGAGCAGGTATGTTTTGTCTAAAAGTTCAGGAATTGCTGTAGGATCCTACTTTCCATCGTGCAAACACTGTTTGGTTTTCAGTTTTCTTTTCTAAAAAGCCCTGTAAGCATCACCACCCATGCAAAAAAGGGGTTCATTTTACTTCCTCAGGATCCTTGAAGCCACGAAATAGCTTAGGAAATAGTAACAACTCAATTTCCCTTCTATGAGGTGATGTGAAGGTTGCAATGTGACTGACCCTCCATGTGCCCATGCAACACGGAAAGGGTCAGGATAAGAAACCTCCATGTCTCCCTTGAGACACTACCATCATTCCCACTATCCTTTCCACAGTGTCCTGGTCCTTTCAGCTCAATGCAAAAGACAGAATGAATTTCTTCAGCTTTAGCAGGAACCATAGCGTCAGTGCTCACCTTTCACACAGAACAAGAGGGAAATACAATTTAGAAAATCAGTTTTAGCCCTCTTCCCTGGAGCAATGCAAGTTGCATGCTGTCTTTCAGTAAGGATGGTAACTCAGCAACCTGTTAGAGGATTAAGCTATGGTTTAAAATTATTGAGTATTTACACAGTCTTTTTGTTGTTGCTGCTGTTGTTCTGGTTTGTTTTGGTTTGGGTTGTTTTTTTTTTTTTAACTGAAAATACACAATGTTTTTACCTTTACAATTTTTCCACGTTTTTTCTTCTTTGGAATCTGTTCTGAATTATGTACATGGATTATCCTTATAGTAGGAGATGGCGGTTAATTAACCTCTTTGAAACTACTATCAAGTACTATATGATGAAGACGCATGATGACAAGTTACCCCAAAAAGCTATTATATTTACCTTATATTAGGCTTGAAACAGTATTTTCTTCTGCCCAGATCACAAGTACTTTTGAAAAATCAGACCTGTATTATCATGGGCTCTTTTGGGTGATTATTCAGCTCCCAGTATGTTCAGTTATCATCTTTCTGTTGTTGCTCTTGGGAACTTGCTCTGGTTTTTCATTGCTAGCATTGCTGCATAGATTTTATATTTTGCAATAAAATGATGGTAGATGCAGATGGGTGGAATGTAATCCAAAGGTATTATTGATTTGTTACAAGTGCAGTAGCTTTCTTTTGTTTGCTAGATGGGTGTTGAAAATTAGTTGAAAATGAGCAATATTTTTACAGCATTTTGAGCATTCCTTTTGAAATTTCCTTTATTTTGTCAAAAATGGAGCATATGCTTATAGAGATGTGTTTGAAGAAAGGAAAAGCCTTGTGGTACACTATTCACCTTACCACAGCTTGAGTTGAATTTTCTGTTCTGTGGAGACTGGAAAGGACAGATGCTGGTTTGGTTAACGTAAGTTTGAAAGAGTGGTGTTAAAGGAAGTCACCAAACTATTGTCTTTGAGTTTCATCTAGCTTTTTTACTCCAGTGCCAGTTAGAGTTGCTAACATCTGGATGAACATATTTGCTTTTAAATACTGTGAAAAGTATACTGGCCAAGTTTAGAGGCACTTTATAAACATTCTATAAACTTAGTGAGATCACCAGCATTTTTAAAATTCCATTTAAAATATTTTTAAATACTGTTAGTTCAAAAATTTTTATGAGTTTGAGGCTTAGGCCCGATCTATAGGCTTCCGTGCTGATACAGCTGATGGTATTACGGGTTCCCTTTGGAAAAAAAAAAAAATTACAAGTATAATTAGACTCTAGAAAATACATTGTGCTGATATAACCTGCTCTTCTTCCTGTTAACAGCAACTATTTAAGTAGTTAAATTCAAGGTTAGTGACAAAATTTTTGAGGGGATAACACAGGGGTAATGGCTGTGTAGCCATATAGCTACTCAACTCTCAAATTTCTAGGAGTGCACATCATATTGCAGTGCTAGTGTGGGGGGCAATTTCCTTAAACTCATCTTGCCAGAGGTGAACCTGTCTCTGGTTAATGTAACACAGCAAAGCCTATTTTAAGACACTTAACTACAGTTGTACTCTTGAACATTGTTCATTATTTCAAGGCAAACCAGGTGGTTTACTGATAGTAGTTTTGGTTCTTGTTATTTCAAAGCTAATATAGAACATTTAGAAAGAGATTGTGATGTCTGTGAATTTAGGGCTGGATGCCAGCCAGATTAATTTCTAAATTAATGTTATCTATCTAAAGCTCAGCAGACTTTTGTTGTTGTTGTTGTTGTTTTTGTTTTCTGTTTTTGTTTTTGTTTTGCATACAGGCTATTAAAAGAACCTATGGAGTGAACAGCTGAGTCCATGTGCAAAAATATAGAAAATATTTATTGAGCAGCTTTAAATTGGTGCATTTTTTTTCATAAAACAGTTTGCATAATACTTGAAGCTGCAAAATATTTGAATTTAAAATTAGAGATTTTTTTTAAAGATAGAGCTTCAAGCTGGAATGATTTGATAATCAAATAAGGACCAGCACATCATAAACACTGAAAAAAAAATCTAAACAGAATTTACACTCTCACACCAATCAAACACCGGAAAAAATACAAGTGCAATTACTGGCTGCTATATGAACTGTTATCTACCAAATGGTTTTCTTACAGTACTGAGATCTTTGTCTCCATAGTGCATGCTTTCAATGAACGTGGTTTGCATTTCACCCAGGAAACACAGAATCTCCTTTTTAATATCTATAGAAAAAAGCTAAGTGTTTGACAATAAGTTCTCTCTAGTAAATAGCTGACAGGAAAAAAAAAACTGTTCAAAGTTGGAAACAAATAGAGATTTACACACAGTGGTAAAATTCATATTAAATTAATAAGTTGGAAATCCACAGGTGGAGAAGAGATGGGTTTTGGAGAAAGGCAAGATGGTAGATTGAACTAAGAAAACCTTGAAGTGGGTAAGAACTGCATGGGAGAAATTATTTTTTGAATGTCTCTTGAAAATTAAGGCAATAACTTGTAAAGATAGCACTGGGAGAATGGAAGATCCTGAGGTGGCCTGAGAGGTCGGGAGAAGAGAATGCATGATGCGCTGTGCTCCGTTATCTCTTCAAGAAGGAAGAGGGGCTTCAAGAAATAGGTGTGTAGATGAATGTGAAAAGCAGAGAAATAGTTGGAAATACATATTTGGAAATCATGCCATCCTCCCAGACGAAATAAAAAAAAAGTTGACATTAGCTACCAGAAAGCAAAAATGGCACAACCTCAACCAGCAGAGGTAGATAAACAGTCAAGGACATTGACCACCTGAACTGCAAGAAAAATTCTGGGCAAAGCACAGACTGAAAAAATGAAGTTGCAAAGAGTTGTTTAAAATGGAGAATGGTTAGAAAATTAAAAAAGGTTAGGCTTTTCTTTCCAAGAGGGAAAAACAAATCATTGTTTCAGAGCTGGAAAGGCAATATGAAGAAATAGATAATTTTAATTATTTCTGGAATGTTGAGGCAAGCTGAAAATATTAAGAGCACAACATTAAAAGATAACTTTCTCCTCCCTCACATTTTCTTGAAAATCATCTTTACGTTAAAAGGGCTACATAAAGAGCTACAGAGAAACGAGTCTGCTCCCATGGACATACTGAACTCCAACATGAATGTAGAGTGGAATAAGGTGGTTACGATAAAACATCAGATAAAGTGGAAATTATGATTGAAAAAAATAACATAAGGCAAAGAACAATCAAGGCAGCACAAAAAAAGCTGAGGAAAAGATTTGTCATAGCAACTGAATATCTCACTGTTGGAGGTGCAGGAATCAGCCTCAAAAGAAGCCAGTTTACTCAGATAATTTTTAGGCTCTGAAGTAAGACCAGAGATGTACTCTTCACAAAGAATCACCAGACAAGATCATTTACCTGCTGAAGGAGCTGAGGAACTCCACAAGATTAATTCAGTCAGATGCAGCAAACTGTGGCTCATGTGAGGGTCTGAATAACCCTGTTTCCTCATATAAAGCACAATTTAAATTGGAAACAAAGATCACGCAGAAGTTTGGAAACTCGATCCCCAAAAGAATGCATTGCTCACAATGTTCAAAGGAGTAAGCATTTAGAGAACATGTTTTCAAATACAGATTTTTCATGTTTTAGTTAAAGCTTTTAGTGGTGTGATGACAGAATGTGGAAAAATGAGGTCTTCACTGCAAAAAGGAAGAGTTTTGGCATTACTCGGAAGTGAAGGACCATAACTGGAGATAAACAGAGCTTGGGATAACCAAACCAGGTGCTGATGAAGGAACAGAAATTTGAAAGTGTGATTCACTTGGCAAAGAAACACTCTTTCTTCTCATAGACATAGTTTTGCTCATCACTGTTTTGGAAATGAAACTATAAGCACAAACACGGGATGGTCACAACATGTGGCTGCAACAGTAAGCGCACCGCAGAGACAGGAGATGATCTTGTTACAAAGCAGAAAAGGTATGAGCAGTTTAGTTTTCGTATTTTTTTAATGTGTTTTGTTACATTGTAATTCACATGTGACAGTTTTCTCAAAGAAACTGGCTCCCCCAGTCACTGTCTTGTGGTCCATCCACCCAAGAGGTGTGGGAAGAGACGTTGCCAGTGAAGACTGAGGCAAAAAACTTGTTGAGTGCCTCAGCCTTCTCCTTGTCCATTCTTACCAGTTTGCCAGTCTTGCTCATTGAGGGGATATGCTTTCTTTGACCTTCCTTTTCTGGCTTACGTACCTAGAATCATAGAATCATAGAATCATAGAATCATCTAG